CTGGTTGGTCTAGGCGAGTGTCTGGGATTTCATCTAGGGCCTGTAAGTATCGAAGGCGCGCCATGGCACTACTCCAACTTTGTGGGACATCCATTGGTCACTCAGGTTCTTCTGGATTATTATAACTTTAAACAGCTCTCACAATCAGTCTATGAGGGAGTTAATGGATAGACAAACTTCTTTGCAGAATTTTCCATGTTTAAGATGGGAAAAGATTTGCAAAGACAGTTTTTTAAGCTTATTTTTGAAGTTTTTTTTTCGTCGTCCTTAGAGTTCTATTCTCGAAAAAGTCCTCGTTCAGAAATTTCGAAGCCACGCGTTTCCTCAACGAAAGCTCCACTGCCGTCAGCGAGTGATGTTGCTGCATTATTCACGTGAGTTACAGTATTCGCTACCGTGCTCCAGGAGTCCAATTGGGAATATTTGAAGTAGAATTGATAGCTGTTAAACTACTATTCCAGGCCTGCTCCACGTGGGCATGCGACGTGCTCTCTTATGCTGGCTCAGTGGGCTTCTTTCATATACGACGACATTGCTCACGTAGCAACTAATCAGCTGGTGAAAGGTACGTCTACTGGTAGGATTTCAATAAAAACGATTCAATCAACCTTATACGTTACCCATTTGGGAGTGAAGGATTTGAGTTTTCATCAGGGGATATTTTTCAGAAGGCTTCTTCCCTGGTTCTAAACACCTTCCACTACCGTGTTGTAGTTCGTCGACAAATCACCCTGAATGTTTCCCCATCATTGCTGCTGATGGAAAATGTACGCGTTTGAAAAGAATTCCGTTTACTCTAAGCAAAATGCTTTCTTTTAATGAAGCCCATCCTTAGGTGTTTCGTATTCACGATCCTTGCCCGCACCACGGGAAAACTGCTCTCTTGGACCACGGGAGCAGGGAAATACGGTACGCTGCTTATCATCTTTATTAAGTCACAATTTTTTTTCTGATTTGTACTACTTTATATTCTCTGAATAGAAAAATTTGTCGAATAGAGTTTCATGTCTTGAACTCTCGGGAAGTTTTTATCAAACCTATTTAGCTAGCGGCGGTATCGCCTTCTTCGGAGCCTGAACTTGAGCCTAACCTGGTAAGAGTTCAAGACATAAACTACTTGAGCTACAATTATGTCGAGGTTGATAGTAGCCCCTACGTAGACATAACTTCTTCAATCATTTTCCAAAGAGTTCCAAGTGTTGATGCCCCTAACAAGTTGAGTTGCTCTTATGGACTTATTGGTAACAAAATAATATGGTTAGAAGGGTTTCTTGCTGATTACAAACTTTCCCTCTTGTTGCTGGGAACCGTTCAGAAAGAATTCTTACACAGTAGAGGAATCCAGTACTTTTTGTATAGAATCGTTCCGTGAAATCGATTTCTGTTGAAGGATCCGAACGTTCAGTTCTTCCTCTCGTAGGTGTCCGCTGCTCAATAGCGTGTACTGAATTGAAAATGTCAACGTGCAACACTATTTCAACGTTGCACACGATCTCATTGAAAGCTGAATCAAAGGCGCATTGACGAGGGGAACATTCAGAGTTTCCGAAACTCGTTTATTGCCCTTTTTAGGTAAGCGGTTACCTTGATGCGAGCCAGATCTACGGTTCTAGCCAAGAAATCGTGGATAAAATGCGATCATTCAAAGATGGTGAGTATTTGCTGTACCGTCTCAGTGTCTATTAATTGCAGAAGACCTTTGATGCTAATTTTTGGTAGGGGTAGAGCAGGGCATACTTTATGTCCATTCCAGGCCTTCTGAACCTTCGAATCTTATCAGCATCGCATGGTGGTCTTCCTCAAGCGGACGACGATGAGGACTGTAAAAGCCGAACTCTTTCGTCCGAGCCATGTTTCATGGCTGGAAGTTCAAGGTTAGGAAACTCCTCTTTTTCCTATTCGTAGGGTTTCTGATTTTTATTTTCAGAATAAACTTATTGCCTTCAAATGCGGTCATGTATACGATATGGATGAGGCAACACAACTTGATCGCAGGGAAGTTAAAGGTGAGCACACGGAGACCTCAAGGACGTAGGTTACGAAATAGTCGTACGCGGCCTCCGTGACTGAATCATGTGCCCCATCGCTGGCCTTCCAACCTGGTTTCGGCAATGAACTCAATAGATGAGAACGAGCTGCTTATGGGCTCTTTCTTCATTTGAAAGGGTCAGATTATGATACTGACAGACTATTATATTCTATGTTTTCAGGAAGTGAACCCTGTGTGGTCCGATGAGAAGCTGTTTCAAGAAGCTCGCCGGATCGTTATCGCACAGATTCAACATATCACCTACAATGAATTTATACCAGTAATTGTCGGGAAGGAGAATCTGAAACGATACGCCTTGGATCTGCAAGTGAACGGATACGATAGTCGTTACGATATGGTACGTGAAAGGGGTGGTTCGAGCTATCATTGATAATCTATTATTATTATTGAATATTTTTTACTTTTCTGTTATGAACAACCCTGCTCTGAATTATAGTTGTTGATGAACAAAAAAAAACCAAAAAATAAATATTATCTGAGGAGAAGTAATTAATAATGATGAGTAATAATATTTTGCATAGTGTAAGAATTATCGGAGTAGAGGTGGTGTAATGGCAAGTGGCGCATTATCACCCCACATGGTTTGGAGATAAAGCCTGGATATATTCTTACTTGGGCTAACCAAACTTCCCATTCCACCTTATTCGATGGGTATCAGACTTTTTGAGAAGTCAAATACGCTGACTTGTATATCGGATGGCCTACGAAATTCATTGTATAATCCTTATACGCGTTCAATCAACCATTACGATAATAAGTGGAAGCCAAAGGCGGGGCGCATCCCGGTGCTATACATCGCTCAAGATGTTTTTCCAATGATACTTTACAATAATTACTATTTTTACCGAATTTTCCATTAATAAACAAACAATGTAAATCGATTGGATTTTAGAAAGTCGATGGATCAACATTGAACGTATTTGCTGCAGCAGTTGGCCAATTCTTCTTAACACTTTTACCGGACAAAATCACTGTGATAGACTCCTTTGGGAATACCAAAAGAGAGGATCCTCTGGGAAGGGTAATTTCTAGCATTTGAACTATAAATCGGTTAGCTCCATCTGGTGTACGGATCCTCTTTTTAAGGTCTTCAACGATCCGTCTTTCATCTACCAAAGGAATCGCTTGGACGCCGTATTGCGTTTCCTGACTAGGTCACCCATTATGAAGCCAGGCCTTCACATGACACCAGAGTTGAAACACGCCTTCAAAAGAGGTAACCGTCAAATTCAGTGCATGTAACCACAAAAACTGCCATATAGTACTTGCCTTTTGGAGTCTGTCCCACCCGAAAGTCCACAGGGATAGAGGTTTGGGTGGTCTGAGCTGATCCCTATTGATCCTTGTTCCCAGACCACTTATACTGAAGCGGATCCCTTTGCGTTGTTTGGACTCTGCTCAGTAAAGGTCATGAATTGAAACTCTATCGATTTCATCCCGAAGTAGATCTTAGGAGGTGATGGTGCCCGTTGTAGAGCTGGTTCCTTCTACACCACTACTACTCATTCTCTCTGGCAGTTAGAAGTTTCTGACAAGATAAGCCTTCAGTTCTTTACTGCCCTCATTTCTAGGCTTCCACCTTTCAATTAAATTTCTTTTTCAGGCATTGGCACGGGGGAAAAAGGAATTGACATGGCTGCACAAATCATACAAATGGGAAGGGACCACGGTATTCCTGGCTACCTGGAATGGCGTCGACATTGTCAACTAGACAATGTGCAGTCTTTTGCTTCCATGTCTGCCAGAGTAGGTTCTTCCTACACTCAATAGGAAGAGCAGTCTATTCAGTTCCAATTTTCGATCCGAACCTCATCGTTATTTTTAGCTACTCCCGTCCGTCAACGCGTCCCTTTTTGAGCAATTATATGAATCGCCTGAGGATGTTGATCTGATTGTGGGAGGTCTTGCTGAAGCTCCTTTGCCTGGTTCCCTGCTCGGTCCAACACTTTCTTGTTTATTTGCAAAACAGATGGAAAAGGTGAGTTGTATGGTTCTTACCTGACGTTTAACTCTTCTGAGTACAGCTGTGACAAAGACGATAGAGATCCTCGCAAAAGAAATCCTCCCAAAAGTCCTGGCAGAATCTCGCAATAGCTTGGGAGTGCTTTTGGCAGACTTGGGCTTATGAGAGGCTACCGATCGTAAAGTTAGATCGATTAATACTTTTCCACGTAGGAGGATGAACTCGATTAATATTCGATCACAGTATTACTCCGGAACCCATTGCGGGCTTTAGAAGGCTCTTTTTGAAACCAACCAATTTTTTTCTTTTTTATCATCAAAGACTGCCTCAAAACTGTGGACAGCCTCAGACAACACATAAACATGGGATCTGGTATCGATTAGACACGCGAGAAATCAATACCTACTCCGAAGTATTGTACACGAGCCATCACGGCTCTGATAACATTAGGAGATTTCACACTTATAGTGTAGGATAGATCTTTTACGCTTTCAAGCTGTGAAGGAAATGTAGAAACTATCAAGAATACATAGTTCTAAATTTCACAGCTTTGGCTCCTTTTCCATTGAGTAACGTCTGTAGCACAAAACTAGTTTCACTATGATTTTCAGACAAAGCGCGGTGATCGTTTCTGGTATGAGAATTTCTTCTATCCATCAGCTTTCTCTACTTCTCAACTAGAAGAAATACGTAAAACAACGTTAGCTCGAATCATCTGCGACAATTCTGATGACTTACGATTCATACAGCATAACGTCTTCTCACTCCAGGACGAATACGGGTACGTTAAGCTCAAAGATGGCATTCCTGTCTGGCATTAATTCACAAATAGATTGATTCTGAGAGTAAGGAGGAGAATTCAGCTCTCATGCAGGCGATGACTTTTCTGAGTCTGGGAATAAAGAAAAGAAAGAAGAAATGGGACGGTGAGGAGCCACTCGAAGCTTAGCCTCCTTGCCTTTCGAGAAGGCTTTCTAGAGACCCGTCTTTTGGCGCTATTCTCTGATCAGGTTTTAGAGCATCAACGCCCTATATGTACTTCTAGAAAGCTAAAAATTCTATAAAAAAGACATTTGCACTCAAGAGCTGGAGTATACTTCGAGCCCTAGCAGTTGTTTCTCTCAAAGTACTGGGTTATTCATTCAGAAACTGCCCTGTAAGCTGTTCATCGTCGGTCATTGATTCCATCGATTTTTCTGCTTGGAAGGATGAAGAACCAAAAAGGGCGTTACCTATCACCAAGGTCTGTGTGCGTTGCTTCTTTTTATCCTTCGAAAATCTCTAATATCTTCATCTTTTTCAGGCGACACTAGAGAAGGCAATACGATTGGGAATAGAACAGTATAACAGATTACAGGCCGCAGAAGGGCGTCGAATAAGAGCACAAGGTAAGGATGACTCTTCTTTTACTGCACAGTTACTGAGAACTGTTTGGTTCTCGATCGAAGCGATAGAAAGAAACCGATCATGTCATGACGTAGACCCCACACATCATTAATGCGATAAACTGAAAGAAATCACTATCCTCGCTTGCTTCACCCATGTACGCGAGATGGAAGGGCCTCATTTAGATGGAACCTCTGCTTCCCCAGTTGTTTCTCCCACAGACAGATAAGCCAGCTGGTAGAAGCAATTTTTCGTGGTGTTACTCATCGAACGCGTTCTGTAACTGTAAAGGATGTGTAAAAAACCTCTACAGGTCAGAAAGTCGTCAATTTCAGGGCCTCCTCCCAATGCAGCTGGCCAGTCAGCTGTGTTCACTCATGCGGCACTCATGGCTCCCAAAAGAGAATCCATTGATATCGCCAGAACAGCAGGTGTACTACGTGAAGCTACACAAGTGCTAATTAAAGGGTTAGTTGAGATGAGGGAGTTGAACGATTGTTACCTGATTTACAAGACTTTAGCACTGGCCTAAATGAGGGCGAGCGCCTTCCACTAGGACTGGACGTCAGCACTCTACAGCAGCTCCTTCCTGATGTTGAAGTGGAAAGCATTATCGGCAACTTTACACCTTTCCTAGGTGGGAAAACATTAGCTTTGTACGACTCATATAAGTTCAGCGAATCTGAAAGGAAAATGATGCATGGCGATTCCCAGGAACACGGGAGTCTCGTTCCTCTCGATGTTTTGAGCAAAGCTTCTTGAGCAGAGTTGATTCCAGGCCACGACCCTCTCCCAAAAGAACAATGCCTTCCACAGCCACTTCCATGTGACCACACATCAAAGTACAGGTATGATAACATAATGAGCATCATGGCTAAGCTAAATACTTATTAGCAGCTCAAATGACTGATTCAGATCCTATTCTGGCTGGTGTAATAACCTACAGTTCCCGAAGTACGGTAATGCATTTGTGGGAATGCGTAGACTTCTTGATCCGGCATACGATGACGGTAATTATTCCCGCATTTTCTCAATCCCATCAGTTCAATGAGCTAGTATTTCTGGCCTCAAGTGTTATCGTAGCGAGAGTTTCGTTTACATTTTTTGATCCTTTGATTAAGGCATTACTCTGCATTTTTATTTATATTTTTATCTTGTCAACCTTTCGTTAGGGTAAGCGATTATTGCAGGTTTCGATGCCCCACGAACGAAAGCGCGATCAGGAGGTGAACTACCATCTGCCAGGGTAGTCAGCAACGTCGTCCACAATGACGCTCCAGAATTTCATGTCCGATTCACTCACATGTTAATGCAGTTCGGTCAAATTCTCGATCACGATATGATGCATTCGCCGATTGCACGAGGTACGTTATCATCAAAATGTCTATCACAGAAGCCCTAGACGCACTTTGGGAGACGTTTTATACCACGAAATCAGTTTTCAATTCCAGTAATTATTTTGCTATTACTCTTTCAAAGCACTGCTTAGGACCCAGTTTGCACCGGTCCTATACAGCTGCCCCAAGTGTATCACTTGATTGTGAAGGGATATCTTTTCAAGAATTCATTTTTTTTTCTCTGAAGCGAGCTTTTCAGGGCCGAACAACACAATTCTAAACTGCTCGTCATGTGATTCACAGGAAAGGCTATCGATACATTGTTTCCCTATCAAAATCGGTAAGGACGATCCGTTCTTCCCGGCTACACATCAAGATGGCCGTCCACGTTGTATGCCGTTTACCAGGAGCCTACTTGGACAACTGACACTCGGCTATAGAAACCAGGTCTGAATCCGTTACCAAACATTAGAAAATTAGATCCCGGTGCCAGAAGAGCATTTGCTCTACATTTCTCGATTTTCAGCGTTGCTTCTCTCGATTTTCATTGATTTTTGGCACTGTATGAATTTAGGAATAAAAAACTAAAGATGTAAGTAACTTATAAATCTGCGTAAGTAAGGTGAATACATTCAGCTAAACCAACTCACTGCATTTTTGGATGCATCATCAGTGTATGGATCGACCGAATGCGAAGCAAATCAACTACGTTTGTTCAGTATGGGGAAGCTGAATTTCACCGATCTGGGGTTTGTTTTCATTTCTCTATTCTCTCTTGACTGCAAATTCAAATTGAGGATTATCTGAAACGAAACTAATTTTCACGGTAAGATTTGAAAATGTGTCGTAGTGAACATAGGGTATCCTCAGCTTCTAAACTTCGGTAGATTAACTGTATATTCTGGGGTTGGCTATGTCATAGCGTACGAGCCCATGGGGATAGAATTACTGACTTGAACATTCAATGCCTTTTCTTACCAACTTATCGAAAATACTTTCTCAGATCATACACGCTATCAAATGCTCAGCTGATTCTTAGTATGACTCTGTCTCTCCCAATCACAATCACTTGCTTCACAATTGTCTTCAGTTTTAGCAACCTCCACATTTCCGAAGCCGTTNGATCAGAAGGAAATTTTGGCCACGCCTCCCGGCCCCAGGATTACGGTCACATCCGAAGTTGCTTTTGCGTAAACGTGTTCTCACTCTGAAAGTTACCGTATACATAAGCAAAGTTGTAATTTTGAAGAAATTATTGACAGGATAAGATTTTTAATGAGAAGGACTGCTACGTGATGTTGAAGTAAGGTCTTTATTCAGATTCAACAAAGAAGCTCTACCACAAGGAAGACAGGAGCGTGACTGCCGATCGGTGCTAAGTTCAACGCAGAAACGGTTTGATTGCTTATTCCATTTCAAGATTACAAATTTCAATAACTGTTGACTGATGCAGGTGTTTCGTTGCTGGTGATGAACGTAATAACGAACAACCAGGATTGACTGTCATCCACACAATTCTTCTCAGGGAACACAATCGTATCGCTTCACAGCTTCGTCGTGTTAACAACTTTTGGACCGACGAACAGTTGTATCAGGTAGGGATTTCGCCAAGAATTCAGAGGATCGATGAGTAATCGAAAATGCGTGGCTCCTTCTCAGCCTGAACGGGATGGGCAATCAAATCCAACTGTCGAAGTAATAATTAGTGAAATGGTCAGAATGGAGCGCAAACCAGGCGTATTTGGGTATGTGGTGATGCGTTCATTCTAACACGCTCTCTTCGAAAGTGATTTTGATCCCGCCTCTTGAAAGGGAAATAGATTCTCGAATCGGTATTCAGATGAACGTGGAACGTAGAGCATACTTTATTTCGCTTTATTAATGTCCAATATTATTATGTCACTCCAAATTGATCGTTTTGGAAGGAAAAACTCGTCTTTTGATAGATGATACCTGACAGTTTCGAGGAAAGGCGAAGTACAGTGGAAATCTTTGCAACCAATTCTCCAAATGTTTTAGGAGGCTCGTCGAATCAACATTGCAAAACTGCAGCATGTCATTTTCAAGGAGTGGTTACCAGTTGTGCTTGGTTGTGAGACCATGGCAAAATATGACCTGATGCCTAAAAAGAGTGGCTACTTCACAGGTACAGCTACGAGTATTCAATCGGAGTTTTTTTTCTCAAGAACTTCGTGAAAGTTATCGGATGTGATAGGCGAGGGAAGTAGGAGCAATATGTGTAGAGCACACGGTTTTTACGTGGTACACAGAAGGTGACATGTAGTGGGTCGAATTTCTTACGAAGTGAATAAAAGTGGACCATTGAAGGGAGGAGGCAGACTATTTCGTTTTTCGAAGTTAAAGCAAACTTTGTTTAAAAGGTTGTTGTGGTGCTTATCTGACTGTCAATCAGCCTTTAGGACTTATCCATTGAAAATAAGGAAAATTTGATTCTGACACAACATTACCACCACTTGGAGACGGCAATCAAATCTTGGAATATCATTTTAATCGTCCAAATCAATCACACCTTCTTAGGCTACGATCCCCACTGTGATCCGGCGATCTCTCAAGAAATGTCGACGGCAGCTTTCCGATTTGGTCATACTCTGATTCGAGCCAAGTTTCCTCGTTTGACTGATACCTACCGGAATATGAGTGACGACGTTGAACTGAAAGCAAGTTTTAAAAAAATAGATAAATTCCAAAAAATCCCCCCAAAATCGACATTCATCTTTGCAGGACCACTTCTCAGATCCGTCTCCCCTATACGAACGGCAGAATGGCCACCTCGAATCGATGCTTATGGGTCTAATCGGCTCTGAAAGGTGGTTTTTGAAAACATCAGTTCCTGGTCATACTGTATATTTCTTGAACATTACCGTATGTTGTATTACGGTACTACGAACAGCCATTGGAAATCATCGATTACAGTATGGCATTCGATCGTCACATTACAAACGCGGTCCGTAATCATTTGTTCGCTAAACCGGGTGGTCCCCTCACAGGAATAGACCTGCCGGCAGTGAATATCCAACGAGGAAGAGACCACGGTGTACAGCCGTACAACAAGTACAGGTGGGAAAGTGATCGGATTAGATATAAAAATAAGTAATCGAGACAAAAATAGAGCACTCCTGTCAGCTAGGTAATGGTCTCACTTGAAGGGCCTTGTGCGGATTACGTCCTGCTCAGAAATTCGATGACCTCCGATCTACAATGGACGATTCTGCAGTAGAAGCTTTGAGAAAAGTTTACGAACATGTGGACGACATTGATTTGTTCCCCGGTATTATGAGTGAGCGATCAATGAAAGGTGAGTTCTCACCATTTTTCATTTACTTTCTTGGAGAGCTCATCAAAAATTGTAATATGTAGTTGAGGCTGGAATGACTGGGTAGGATACTCTTTGTACGCTCACTATATATGGGAATGTGTATACTTTTCATCCCTATTTTTACTTTTTCCCATTCGAAATTGAATCTATATCCAGTTGGGACTATTTCATTCAATGCTGACTCAACTGAATTCGTAAATAACAGGTGCTCTGATTGGCCCCACTCTTGCATGTATTATCGGTGAACAAATGCAACGGCTGAAGAAATGTGATCGTTTTTACTACGAAAATTCTGATCCAGCGGTACGATTCACACCAGGTAAAAGATTTTCAGAGAATCAGTACAGTTTTATCGAGATTTCTATAAAAGGCGTAGTTGAAGATGATTTCGAGACTTTTGGGTCGAGTAACGGAAGTGTTGGAGAGGAATAGTAATGCATCAGTAGCGGAGAAAGAGAAAAAGTTGGAAGAGTTCGCTATACGGGCTCATAGAAGTATTTGATATCTGGGATTATACTAGATTACGACGAGAAGGGTGATTGGCCTAGTGTTCCCGCCGTGTGTAATTGCGTAAAGTGTCAAGTACAGTAAGCCTGCTGTCGCAAAGTACCCTGCACTGTCGCTATGTTGGGCTGCTGCTCTATTTATTCCAAAAACGTTTTGCTTGATTATTTGTTAGGCAAGGTCTGAGAGTGCATCTCTATTCCCCATTTCTCCTGATACGCCTGGTAACGGAAGTGCAGGGCTTGAGGCATAAGATTATATAGTCTTCACGGTTTATTCGAGGCTAACATCAGGCAACTATAGACGAGACCTCAGTAATAAAGAGATTGTAACGATTCTTTTTAATTTCGTGTTGAAGGCGCTTTCCTTTTCAGCCTACTGATATCTGTTTCAGACCAATTGGCTGAAATACGGAAAACTACGTTTGCGAAGATAATCTGTGAAAATAGTCAATTTGCCCGGAAGATTCAGCCGAATGTCTTCCTCATGGCCGATGAGTTGACGTAAGTATGTTGGAATAAATCTATTATTAAGGGTATCGCACTACTATATTTCCTTCCTTCAAGAAGCACTCCCAAGTGGGAGGCGGCAGTTGACCGTATCAGAGGGCAGAATTTGAGGATGAATCTGCGGGTTGTTTCCATGTATTCTTCTGTTTTGAAAATTCACTTATCGTTCCCTTCACAAGGGTGTATAATGACGGTGACGGTAGTTGGCTAGTTCTCCCAAGGGCTCCAAACATATCTCTAAGAAATTTATAAATTTGTGCATTCCCGTTTCTTGTTACTCTTCTGCGTCCCTTACCCCTCCTCTCTCGAAAACCGGGTTTACTCAGGCTTCCATACGAGTTTGGCACTGGTACCAGTTAGGCGTCTTGGCAGGAGTTGAACCCTTTTGATGGTTTCTATAATGGGACCGCTTCTGAAGGAAACTATACTGCCTATTTAGAAATGCACCCACTTCATGTTCGGAATTGCCAGACACGGATTTGTTCGAATGGTTGGATAGAGGTCGGTTTTAGTAGTCTTCTCAACTAGCCCACCCCATCAGGAAGCCTGGATTTTTTTTAGAATACTGCCTTGTGGATCATCGAGTCATCAATTTGGGAAAAACGAAGAGGATTACTCCATGTGTGACATGTACTTGTACAAGAGAAGGAGTACGTTGAACTTGCATTAGGTTTTGTTCCACTTCCTGTGGCTTGTAACTATGTCGAGTACATTGCCATGACATACACCGCTATAGACATCGTTACTGTTGCAGCCCGAATGCCATTCAATAACTATTGACCATTGCGATCGGTTATTCGACGACTACCTCGCCTCGGAAATTGCAAAGGTCGGTATGCTTCTTCAACCAGAAGATCGTCTACGAGCGAAGGCCTTTTTAGGATCCGGTCTGCGTGATCCAATGTGCTCGATCTGTCAAGGAGCGTCTAGTGAATAGCACAAGGACTCGATCGTAGGACTACGATTCCGCAACCACCAGTGTTTCATGCAATTCATCCAAAGGTGCAAATATGTGTATTAGAGGCAGGTCCCAATTGGACTGCAAATAATTTTATTATTCAATATAGAATAAAAAGATTCTTTCATGTCAAGACAGGGGGAACAACTAATCTTTTCATTCTTTCCACTGTTATGATGGCTTGAATTTGGAGTAATAAGTACCGCCGATGGCCTGAGGTCTGTAGAAAACATTCTACTCTTTTCACTCTAAGGATCAAAGCCGGATAGTTAGACTGAAGAACAAGCCATTCGTTCTTAACGATAATAATCAGTTGATCCAGTCGGTGGAACTGCCTGGAAAATGTATGGGCTTGTCCAGCTCCTACCTACTTCCTACACCTCTCCCAGTCTATTTCCTGCTCTCATGTTCCCAAGCCAATCGCTCATCGCGCACCTTTCGATGCAATCGTAGATGTTTGCAGATGTAAATATAAGAACCTCGTCAAAACGTACTCGTCGACTTGTTTACAAATAAAACACCGGACTTCATCTGTAAACATTACACAAGAAATTTTATCAAAGTTTTTTTCTGCGAAATTCCAAAAATCGAATTAAGAATTGACATATGCAAAAACGTTTCCAAGCAGGCTAATCTCCATCGCCTGCATCCGCACGTTTCTGAAACGAAGGAATTCTTAGTTCACAGTCAAAGTAAAAATTGTGGCATGATTAGAGGAAGGGTGGTGGGTGTTCCTTTCGATAGAGGTGGTACTGTGGTGTGGAACTCCGCCTCGTGACTGGAATGGTGGTGTGATAAGGTCCCACTCAACTGAGCCGGGTACCACTACGGTGTTAGCCCTGTTAGACTATCTTGATACCAACTGGCAAACATCAAGGTAAAGCGAATATGGGGGCGATCCAACTTTGTCGGGCCATCGTACTTGTCTTAACCCCGGAAGTTCGGTCGTGGAATGATAGCTTCAAAACTGACCTTCCTCTTTTTGGTAACTTTTTCCATAAGACTTGACTGATTGACTGAAGCTAGCCGTCGACGCTTTGCTTCTTTGGTACCAGCTCTGACGTCGTAGCCCTGTTATGCTATTAGTTATGGAAGTTTGAACAACAAACGTCAATTACGCGAGTGCACTGCAACGATTTGTGGACATGGGCCAGGAGGCGCCATCGCGGTCGTGAGGTCACCGGAATCGGTGACCGTAGGGACTTTTTCTGAGCCGACATGGGCAATGTGTGATCAAAGCGGTATTTTTTTTTTGGATTTGGAAACTGCCGTTCACAGCCCGTCTGCGTGGTAGGATAAGCCATGTGGGCAAATGATTCTCCTTGCGCCGCTCACCGCACGCGACAGTTTCGCACTTTACCTAATGGTCCCAGTCCATACCCATAATTTTTAATTATACCTCTGTTTTCAGAAGTGTTATCCTTTTCGCAAGCTCTTTCCATGCCGCTTCATCAGCTGCCATATGCTTTTTCATACCCCACGTGAAATTTGATGCAGTCTCCAGAACATTTTCCAGCGTTTCCAAATAGTTATCCTGAACTTCATTTCAACCAGGCTGCATGGCTTATTGAGAAGCATTTTGAAACGATTACCGAAACTTCATCACCAGGTGGTTCGGAAATAATTGCTTGAAGCTGGGGATTATCAGAACCCAAAGATGCACCAATATCGGTTCTTTCACCACCGTGTGATGATTGTGACAATTTCGCTTTTTCAGCTGCTTCCTTAAAAGGCTTGACTTCAATGTTCGAATCTGCTGAACCTATTTTCACCCATTTCTTACCGCCGGAGTTTCCTTGCCACTTTTGCTACTGAGCGTCTTTGATGGCAAGCTTTTTTCGGTTTGCGTTTTTTCAGTCTTCGCCTGAAAAACACTTCAACCGACTACCTACACCTTCAGAAAAAGTTCTTTAGTAGCAAACAGTTTTGTGAAGAAAAAAATTACGACCGAGTCCTTCACGAAACTGATTGCTTGGAAGCCTGGCACTCTGAAGAAAGTTTCCAGGAACCAATTAAAAATTGAGAACCAAAGGCACTCTACATCTGAAACCCCATGCAGAGCTCCTGAGAAGGTCGATTTTTATGAACTTACCTTACAACAGCATCCCAAACTAGAAACGACAACAAATGTCACAGTGATTAGATGAAGAATGAAGGTTATCAATATTATCCACATTTCGAGCTGCAAAAAATATCATTCATACATGTGGTCACTTCAGATCTAAGCAAATAAAATGAATCTGATTAGGCATTCGGGAAGTATAGTCCCTGGAGCCCGAGAAGTATGCTGCGCCCTTTCTGGGTCGGCCAATTTCAGAGAAGAGGATAGGATGTCGCCGAGTGACAAGGTGGACTCGAAAGACTGGGCGCGAGACAGCTAACAAAGAAACGTCAAAGGCTCGCGCGTCGCATTGCGGAATCAGCCTCCTTTGTCGCTGACGTTCCACATGCCATGATCACAACCAGCGATGTCGCGAGGTAATCAAATGCGATAGCGCGTGCGACAGCGGCTTGCGTTCAGTGGTATTCGCAGACGCTAACACTTGGGTGATAGCGATAATTCCCGATAGGAACTGTTCGTTGCTGAGACAACTAACAAACTCATTCTTTGCTTCACCAGGGTCTAAGTCGGTGAACCCTTTTGCAATGCACCCAAAACCAAGCAATAGTAGAGCCGCCCATGGCCAAAACTTCAACTCAGTCCTACTCTTCTCATCCTTTTGTTTGTCTCCTCTACTTTCTCGGAAGAAGAGGAGAAGTAAATAAGAGGGACATGAGGAGTAAAGGAAAAGTTTCTTGCTTCTGAAACGACCAATACAATCTATGTCTATAAACGATCTGTTTCCTCTCCTGTAAGACGAAATAACCTCCATCACCCTCTCTCCGAGATCGGACAAAAATGACGGCTCAGCTGGAATTCGAACCAGTCCTAGCTTTACCCTGCCCATGCCTGCCATCAGTGAAATAACAAGGGATCAGTAATAACGATGCAAGAGAACAATGCTTACCTATCGCCCATACATATACAACTTGCTTAAGAAATGAGACCTACTCCAAGCTGCTGTTGTGAAGTGATACGCCTACAGTACCACTGAAAACAATCATGATCAGGCATAATCATTATGCATTACTAAGTGAGAGAGCACGTCGGCTAGAGCCAAATTACCTCCTTCTACCAAGCACACACCACAAGAACATCACATTGTCAAGCAAATTAACCAAAATGCAAGTTCCGCCTAGATCCATCCAAATCCTCCTACAGTTACTGTTGCACGGCGCACTCCAAAGCATCAAACTCATTACACAACCAATATTTAACTCAATTAAATCATGAGTTAGGATCCCTAGAATACTACGCGCTCGAACAGAGGACCAGAAGTGGTGGCAAACTCGTCCAAACATCCCTACTCCCATACTCTCACGTAAAGTTGAGGAGCGTCTTTTCCTTTGTAGGTCTCGTCGCCGAGGTCCATTGAGCTGTAGATTGCTATTTTTTTCACCTGGGAATCCATTCATTGGTAAGTTTTACACCATCAATTTCAGAGACCTCAGATGAAATGATTGCTGAATACCTCATAAAGAAGCTGTTTACTCTTACGACTGGATCACTTCATAGTTGAGAGCCTTACTGGTAGGGACCAGAGATGAAATTCTTCTCTTTTGCAAAGTCTCGTGGTAACTAGGAAGGACCATTTTTTCACTACCCCACGCCTTTATAATGGCTTCTTGGCATGATAAGAGACTCGTGGTGGCATCTTATGACAGACTTTTTTACCCAGCTTAATTACCTTTTATCGATGTAACTGCATGTTAAGGAAAATTCTATCTTGTCCATTTATCACTTCTGTTTCGACGCCTTATGAGCTCTATGATGCATTTCCGTCAACACTGAAAAAATCCTTGAAATTTATCTCTTTACTTCTGAACAGTACAGTACGAAAATCGAGTAGTGCCAACTCCAAAGGCACTGTTCATGATAATTTTGAGGTACCCGTTTTAATTCGAAAAGCGGGAGAATAGGTTGACAATAGCACATTGGTAGAGAAAAAAGCGAGAAAATTTGCAAATTTTGAGAAAAATGAGCCTCCTCAAAATTAGGAAAATGATGAAGGTTGCACAGATTACCATGACGGAAATAACGTAGGAGGGGTATTTGGACGAGATTTCAGTTATTGAAATTGCACAAAGAGCTGACTAAATCAAGCCAGAACTGTGCAGAACCGTCTTTCACTGACGCCATAGATCATGACATGTTGTTTTAACTTCTTACAAGGGTTCCCTTGGTTTCGGTGCCGCCTCTACAATGCCGTTGAAACTCGTCCTAGGACACGGACAGGACCAATCTTTGAGCTTTTATAACTCCCTAACTAGGCCATTTTCCGACCTAGTAGTGCCAGATATGGTGTACGCGGGGCTTCAAGTTTTTCATCGTGAACTGTGCCTTTAAGAATAAGCCTTGCATCAGACATCCATTCACAGGGGCTAATACATTTGATTGTGTGACGAGCTTTATTGGTGCTGTACAGTGGCAATCTACATAGACACCAAGTGATCATGTCTCTAAAAGCTTGTCTTACAAGCTGCGAGCCTTGACATGCGACCTTTCCCTAGACATCACTGACTTTGTGATTAATCAGTGTATCCTTTATCCTCTACGGTGTACTGGTGTAGTACGCCAGGAACAGGATTGAGCCCTGGATTGATACATGGTCGGTCCAACCAAGCTTTCTACCCTTCGAGGAGTCCCTTAAATAATAACAGACTAGTGTGGAAGGACAAAAGAC